CATAAAAAGGGAGAAAAAATAACATTTAAAAACTAGAGATACCCATCACGGTCCCATGGCGAGGACAGAAAAAAAAGAATGACTGTGGCTTGGAGGAGCCTTAATTTATCACGTGTCCTGTGGGTTAAGAGGGGCGGATCTTAACCCATGGTGTGCTGTCGAGATGCCCCAGGAAATACATTTTATAATGTAATTTACCACAGTTTAAGAAATGTTTATCATCTGTGTGTTGAACAAGTTTTATTTTCTAAGTATTGTATTATTACATGACAAAGTTTTTTGTATTGTACTGTGTTATTGTTTTTTCCACATCCACAAAATATTTTTGAATTCAATGCTATAAATTTATTTTAAGTAGCAAATTATATTTGAAATGCATTGGAAATATATTTTGAAAACTAGCAGAAATATTTGATGATTTTTCAGGCCTATGATATATAAATACATTAAAATGCATTTCCAAATATAAAGGGAAAGTATTTTTTAAATTTATCTGCCACATATTTTGCATTCAGATGTACATTTAACATATATTCCAGGATATTTCACAATGCATAACAAAATACACTTTGAAATATATTTATGGTTGCAGCAATATATTGCTAAATGCATTCATAAGTACATTTAACATATATTCCAAAATATATTCACAGCATATTTCACAATGCATTCCAAAATACACTTTGAAATATATTTCAGCATGCATTCAGAAAATATATTCAATAATATTTTCACAAGTATAGTAAAATATATTTTTGAAATATATTGAAAACGGCCAAAATTGTAGTATTTCAAATATATGTAAATATATTTGGAAAAAATATATTAAGAATGTTTTAAAAAATATATATATATTTCAAATATATTTTTCTTCCATGTGGGGTACCTGCTGCAATGTAGCGAGCTCCAGAAGTGATTAGCATTATGTATAACATTTGGATTTAAAATAACATTTACAGCCATACATTTTTTTCCTAATACCAATAGGGGAATACATATAACATTCTACGAAGAGGTGAGTAGGGATCTGGATAGAGGAAAACCAGTGGATGTGGTATACCTGGATTTTGCAAAAGCTTTTGACATGGTACCACATAAACGCTTAGTACACAAGCTTAAATTGATAGGCATAGATGACATGGTGTGTGCATGGTGTGATACAGAACTCACAAGGGATACTGGGTTCCAGCCCAAACAACACGGTCCTCTAGGGTATAACCAGCTTCCAGCATGCAATTGCGAATATAAACATTCTTTCTTTATTTGCATGTCATTGAGGGTCGTTGAACAACACTCAAAAGGTGATTGGAAACTACAAACAAAATCCTAGCTCTTTTAGAGCACTAACTAAACATTCTCAGCAACCCTGGCTATCCAAGCAGAGTAATCTATAAACAAACAAAAGAAACAGTCTTTTTTCTCTGAGAAGTTTCACTCACCACCCTGCCCCAGCAGTCCAGTACTTCTCCCCAGGAGTCAGCAGCCTCTGAATTTAGCTGCTGCTAACTACTTAATTAAGCAAAGATGTGTGAGTGGATAGAGACTATGGAGGATTCTGGGTCCTACATACCTCCCCTCCACTACTCTTCCACACACCCTGTCACAATGGATAGAGAACTGGCTACGTGTCCAAAGTTTTGAGAAAAAACTATTTTTCACATTGGTCTAAGGTTGAGAGTGACGTGCCCCAGGGTCCTGTGCTAGGCCCCATACTATTTAGCCTGTTTATTAACAATATTGGGGAGGGCATCAATAGCCATGTTTCTGTGTTTGCAGATACTAAAATTGGGAGGGTAATAGACATGGGATTAGACATTATTACATTACAGGAGGACCGGGATAAAATAGGGGAGTGGGCAGCTACATGGCAGATGAGGTTTCAATGTCGAAAAATGTAAAGTAATGCACTTTGGGGTTAATACCAGGCAAGCGGATTACACATTAATGGGAACTCCACTAGGGAAGTCAGAAATGTAAAAAGATTTGGGGGTCATAATTGACCGCAGACTGAATAACAGCAAGCAATGCCAGGCTGCGGCAAACAAAGCGAGCAGAGTACTGTCTTGTATTAAAAAGGAAATATATTGTAGAGATAAAGCGATAATTTTGCCACTTTACAGATCACTGGTTCGGCCTCACCTTGAATATGCGGTTCAGTTTTGGTCACCAGTCCACAGAGCTGGAGAAGGTCCAAAGAAGAGGAACAAAGCTAATTAAGGGGCTGGAGAATAAAAGTTATGAGAGAAGGTTGCTAATTTTAAACTCGTTCACGCTGGAAGTGAGGAGATTAAGAGGGGACACGATTTTGTTGTACAAAATGTTTAGTGGTGATGGCAACATCGGCACTAAACGTTTTACTGTAAACTCCATAACAAGGACTTGAGGCCACCACCTAAAATTGGTAGAGAAAAGATTTAACTACAAAGGGCGTAGGGGGTTCTTTTCCGTTAGAGCGGTTACATTTTGGAACTCTCTGCAAGAGCAGCGGTATGAGCAGAAAGTATTCAATCATTCAAAAATCAATTAGATACCATCCTAAGAGACTAACATACAGGGGTACAGGTACACTTAAATACTAGACCACACTGGGACTCTTATACACACGCATGCACGCAAAACAAACACACGCACACAAAGGTTGAACTCGATGGACCTGTGTCTTTTTTTCAACCTGAAATACTATGCAACTATACTGCTGGGCAGAGCAATAAGCTTAAAAAAACTAAACGATCTCTCACTGATCATTTTATATTCACTGATAGCTTACCTTTCATTCAGCTAAGATTTAGCTTACCTTTCATTCAGCTAAGATTTTGCCAGCTGTATTTTATAGAAAGTACAAAACAACTTTTTTTTACCACCATTAGCACATGTGGTACCCAAAAAACTAAGGGGATGGGTGGGTAACCACTAATGGGATCATTACTGAACGAATGGCTGCATCAGAAGTAGGTATTAAACTCTGATCAAACAGGTTGGTGAATTTGCAGAGATGACCAGGTAGCTTCCCTGCAGACATACCCAACTGATTTTCCACTGAATAAAGCCCACAAAAATGTCAGGGCTGTAGCAAATGGCCTCTTGAGTTGTGAGGGCTTTATGCCCTCTGGTTAAGTATGTTTTCCAAAATGGATGTCTCAACTGATTGGGAAACAATATGATTGGAGGCCAACTCTTGAAGAATCCAATGGAGTGTCAGGGATATCGGCACAGGTGACCCCACACCTGCGCAGGTACCCACACAGGCAGACCAAACACTTATGACCACACCGGACAGGGCAGAATGTATTATATACACTTTAATAAACAGAAAAACTAAACAACACCCAAAAGCAAACATAAATAAGTAACATCAACCAGACTACAAGCAGGTAATGGCAACAGGAGGACAAGCAGGTAATGTCAACAGGAGGAAAGGCAGGTAATGGCAACAAGAGGACAAGCAGGTAATGGCAACAGGAGGAAAGGCAGGTAATGGCAACAAGAGGTATCTAGGACTGCAAATGGGTAACCGGGCTCGGGACACAAACAGGGTACAGGACTGGTAACAGGACTCTGGACGGAAAGCAGGGTTCATCGGAACTGGGGACTCAGGGTTCAAGTTTCAGGAAACGATACTGAGCCATCATCCCGACTGCAGGGAGGGTTTAAATATCCTCCCAGGAAGCACCAGGTGATGGCTAAGTACTGGCAGCTGGGAAACACCCGCAGGTGAGCACTGGAGCTGCAGGTCTCAGCTCCTGCGCCACCTAGAGGTGCTCTGGATCCTAACATGGAGTCAGAATTACAATTTTGTAGTTCCCTATGTTATATTCCAATACCACTAACTAAATCTAGTTTTTGTAGAGCTGCTCTGCCTTTAAGAGAATAGTGCTTCCAGATTAATGTGAAAGGCAGAGATGACTTTAGGCCAGAAGGAGGCATGGTTTAGAAAGCAATCTTGCCCTTCTGGAAGACCGTGAACCACATGTACCCCCATCCAATGCATGTCAGAAAGACACCACTAACAACAGCAGACAGCCCTGAGCGTGAAGAAAAAAAAAATGACAGCAACTCAAGTTGAGATTCTTGAAAAGGCTTCTGGGATCAAGGTGAGGTCCTACTTTGGGTTGATTTTTTTTTGGTATAAATAGTTAAGCGGGTGACACCACTGCAGGAAAGTTTTTTTAATGCAGGAAGTCATTTTGTTTTATGACAGAACATAATAGCATTACTGGAATCTTTTTGGAACTCAAAGAGATGTTCTTGTACAAACTGTTCTGCAGTTCCTAGTTTGGCTGGTAAGCGAACATATTCCCTAAGTATTTGGGCAGTTTGAAGCAACAATCTTTGTATTTGTATCAAATCCTGGGGTATGCCTGAAATGGGTGATTTTTTTGGTTGTAATAAAGATTACCAAATGTTTTAGTGCTTGAGGTTCATGGCTTCAATAGCAACTAAGTCAAGTGATCTCATTAAAAGTTTGTGATGGAAAAATGGTGTTATAACTTTTAGATAGATGATCCAGTCATACATTCAAACGAAAGTCATGTCTAACCTAGAAAATAATATGGAGTTTCTAGTGACAAAAGCGCTCTCTTCCACCCAAGAATGTATTTTTTATCAAAGCGTTGCCCTTGCTGGCTGGCATTTGCCACTGCTATGTGCGGTTAAAGCAGAATAAATGTAGGAAATGTTCAATTCAAGAATGGCCTCTCAAGTTGCCCGAAATGCAACCGAGCATGCACTAAATGATCTTACATTGTGCATCTTAATATTAATGGTGTAGTTTCCCTAATCTGCTCAATTATCCTTTGCTAAACAGGAAATACTGTTTCAAACTATCCTGAGGGGAAGCTCCAATACACAAGTGAATAAAAATACACACAAAACAGCAGTTATCCTGACAGAGGTTCTAACCTTGCTCATTTACCCAAAACACAAAAAAAAGACAATGTCCATGATATACTGAGAGTTCAAACTTAACCCACTGCCCATGAAATTAAGTGAATATTAACTACCCATTGCCTGGTATCGTGGGCTGATTGTCGTTGGGTGATGCAGCACCAAGATTTCAGCTTCAAACTCCCAAGATGCTTGAGGGTTAAGGCGTGGAGAAACCATCACCATGCCTTTTCTGATAGAAGATCGCTTAATCTGCAAAGCAAACAGAAAACAGTAAAAATAAGTCTGTAAATTCATATTGGGAGCCTAAAAATAGCACAACTCCCAGAAATTATTTATAAAACTAATGTAGGATGAGAGTAGTGGTGGCCACAATACAAAAAAAAAAATCAGTGGGGACATGCAAAGGGCAGTACATTCTTGCCATGTTCCAGCTTGTATGATGCTAAATTCATGTAGGAATCCGAGCGGTCAAAAGTAACATGTTTATTGGGGCGGGAAGGGGGGTGGAAAGTGTCTTCAGAGCTGCACTAAGCCACCACTATCTATTATGACCCTATGGAAGATTTAGTGGGATTTTGAAATTAACCCATTTCATATTGATATCAGCATAAACTATTATTGATATTATTATAGTTGGGTTAGTCCAAGTGGTTCCCCAAATTCAACTGAAAATACAACTTCTAATGACTTCTGCAGTCTCAAAATTATTCAACCTCCTGAATGGAATCTCTCACAAGAGCACGCATCTACAAAACCGGAGTTGTCTCAAGCACACCTGATACAACCAATCAAGGGCTTCATTAGTTGCACCAGGTGTGCTTGAGCTAGAACACATGAAATACCTGAACTGGCTAGTGGTTTGTTGAGTGTCACGTTTGCATGTTGGAAATATGGCTAAATTAAAAGAATGGCCAAAAAAGTATATAGAAGAGATCATCACCCTTCACAAACAAGGAACAGGATGCAAAAAGATAGCGAAAGCACTGACTGTTCCTAGAGACACAGTTTGAAGCATAGTTCGCAAGCACAAAGTTAAAAGAACAGTGGTTACACTACCAGGATGGGGCAGAAAAAGGAAGCTGGACAGGGCAGAAAAAGTTTGCAATCAGATTTCTGAGAAGGCAGGTTGAACAAAAACCTAGAGTGACTGCAAAAGACCTGCAGCAAGACTTAGCGCCTACAGGCACTGAGGTTTCCGATTGCACATTAAGGCGCATGCTAAACTTGGTTTCTATGCCAGAACACCAAGACCGACAACACTACTGACCCAAAAGCACAAGAAAAGTTGGTTCCAATATGCTCAAAATCATATAAATAGGCCACAGGAGTTTTGGAATTCTGTTCAGTGGAGTGATGAAACAAAACAAACTTTTTGACCCTATGGATCAGCGGTATGTCTAGAGAAAGAGAAAAATTATGCATACGCCGAAAAGAGCACTCTGCCAACAGTTAAGCATGGTGGTGGCTTAGTGACGCTCTGCATCCTCTGGCATTTGAAACCTGCAGCGTGTGGAAGAAAAAATTCAATGAATTATCAGGAAATCCTAGGAGAAATTGTCATGTCATCTGTGAGGAAGCTAAAGCTTGGGAATTATTGGACATTTCAACAGGACAATGATCACAAGCACACCTAAAATTCTACCTAGGCTTGGCTGCAGAAGCCCTGGAAGATTCTACAGTGGTCATCACATTCACCCAACTAGAAACCCCTTGGAAAATCTCTGGTGGGATTTGAAGGCAGTTGTAGCATGCAAACGCAAGTTTATTGTTGAACTGGAAGCCATTGCTCTTAAGGGATATACTAAGACTCCTCAGGATCGCTGCCAGAAGCTGGTGTCTGGCTATGCATCTCGTTGCAGCAGGTCATAACAGCAAAGGGGTGCTCCACTATATACTAAAGATGCTTGCCATGAAAGGGTTGAATAATTTTTAGATTGCAGAATTAAACGTTGCATTTTCAGTTGAATTGGGGGAAACCACATTTGTAGTGTTGACCTGTTTGAATTGTTTTATTTTATTTGTTCATTGCAAACAGCAGAAAGTCTGTAAAGTTTGCCAAAAAAACCTGATTTACAATGAGGGTTGAATACTTTTGATTACAACTGTATAATAGGTTATATGAATAAGCAACATGTGGAACATTTAACTTTGTAGGTCGAGGTAACAAGAGTTCAATGACAAAGACTGACATTTTTTTACCTTGGCTTAAAGTGTATTTCCACTTTTGCAGTAAAATTTAGGAAAACCCCTCCTATGTTCGTTATGTGTCCCTATTCACACAGTACAGACATGTGTAGAGATATGGGGTCTACGGCCCTGTCAAATGAAATGTATAATTTGTCCCTGAAGAATACGCAAGAAATGGGGAGGAACTTAAACCAGAAGGACACAAAAAAAAATAGCTTGTGGACGTAGGACATTTTGGTAGCAGCTATTCGACCTAGCCAAGGGAGTGAATGTGTTGACCATATATGGATGAGATCCTGAGGTTTGCATCTGACAAGAAGGGTAATTTGCTTCAAAAAAGAGTAGAGTAGGCGTTAGTGACAAACTTCCCAATGAAAGCTAAATGATTGTTGAAGCTGTTACCCAAATTACTAGTTTAAAGTTATGATCCGCTAGACAAGCGTTCACACCTACAAGTATATGGTTATGAGGATTCAATCATAAGATTTTGGAGCTGAACACAACAGAAATTTATTGGTATATAGTAGGGATGCACCGATATATCGTCCACCGAAACATATCGTCCACCGAAACATATCGTCCAAAAATGGCACTTTTGGCAAAATGCCGAAAGTGCCATTTTCTGTCCGAAATAGCGGTGCATCTGTTCTTTATCTCCTCCCCGCTGGGCGCTGCTGTATGTCCCAGCGGGGAGGAGAGAAACTGTCACAGGTGGCCGAGCGCTGCAGGGAGGAGAGTGCAGTGAGCAGCCGACGTCTCTCCTCCCCACATCGATCTGCCCCGTCACAGATCGGGAGAGCAGTGTGGGCGAAGACAACCAGTGCAGTCACAGGAGGCTGAGCTCCACTCGCTCAGCCTCCTGTGACAGCGTGTCAGGAAGAAGAGCAAGTGACGACGACGCATTGGCCCCCCTCTCCTGCCAGCTGCAGAAGTTACTGGACTGACGATCGGCTCCTATCCTGAACAGCCGACGGCTCCACAAGAGGCACCTGATATAACAGAGAAGGTGTCCTCTGATGAAATCGCCCCCAGGAGCTCGCACACCGTGGGGGATGATTTCATGAGAGGTAGGGGACACAGTATGTTGCCTGCAGGGACCCCCCCTCGATCTTTGCAGGGTAATCGATCTGAACCCTCTCACTTCCCCAGTGTGGTAGCTGTGTGGACTCTCCCCCCCATGCGGGATAATGGAGAGGACTCCCTGGGGTCCTGGAAATCTGACCGGCATATGCCAATCCTGCAGGGCTCTGCAGCGTGGCCCTTTCAGCCATCTACTTCCCAAATGACGTGGGACTCAGACCTCAGGAATCTTATCAGGGCTCTCCCGACTAAAGCTGACCTGGAGACACCGATCCCTACAAAGGCGGATTTTGAGGCCTCTACTAATCGAATTGAATCCGCCTATAAGCAAGACCTTGCTGAAGTCCGGCAGGACATCTCTTCTCTAACTACTAAAGTCACTTCGGTCAAACAGGCACATTCTGATCTCCTTTAAAGAGTATGTACCTTGGAAACATCACATTCCACCCTTCAACACCAGCTTTCTGATCTATTCCTTCACCTAGACGACCTGGATAACAGCGGTAGGAGGAATAACGTTCGGATCCGAGGTCTTCCCGAATCCACTGGTTCAGCTGATCTCAAGGCCACTGTACGCAACATCTTCAACACCTAGTTGATCGCCCTCCAAATACCCCTATTGAAATTGATAGAGCGCACAGATCGCAAGATCCTGTCAGACCACGGGATGTTATTTTGCTCTTTCTTTGCTCTTAATGAAGAAAATATGCGCTAGCCAATGCGAAAAGGTCCCCTTGGTTTCGACGGGGCTAATATACAAGTCTTTCCTGATGTTTCCAGATGCACCCTGTTAATGCGTAGCTTGCTCAAACCCCTTTTAGATGCGATTTGGGCATCGGGAGCAGCTCACAGATGGGGTTTCCCATTTCACCTTTGTTCTGAAGAAACCGGAAGAACTACAAGCCTTATTCACCTCTCTGGAGATGGAACGCTTCCCAGTACCAAACTGGCTTCATGCCAACTTGGAATCAGCACCGGCTCGAGGGAACAGTCCTCTACAACTCCAGTTTCTTCTCGCCGTCGATTTACGGGCGGAGTTGAAACTCCCCAAAGAGCGAGACCCTCATCTGGATCCCAGATACCTCGTGAGCTCTGACCAGCAAGATTGTGATTTAATGCTTTTTGCCTCTGTCTACTGCGGTATTGATTGTGCACAGTGGTCTCATGGGCTCAGGTCCACCTAGTCTACACCATGGGGCTGCCCTGAGGTGACGCCCTGGTACGACCCTGTGTACTCTCAAACAATTATGCCTTGGAAATGTATTTGATGACCAATGCTCTTTCAATGTATACTTTGAAATGCGTTGGGGAACTCACAGGGAGTCAATACTTCCCCAGGCTTATTTGCCGGGGAGGGGGGTTTGATTCTCTGGGAGATCTACTAACTTTCGGAAATTCCGTTGGTGTACAATCTTTTTCTGTGCTTTATGTTTTTGTTTGGCTTTACAGGCGTCCATGGGGGATGTGACCTCCTGGATCGTCCCTTGTCTGCTCCCGTACTCAGGGATGGAGTCATAGACTACCACTGGTTCCTTCGTCCCCACTATGCACCTTCTTATCTCCACTGATATATAGTGGGGGGATGGCTGGGATGTCTAGTCTCACTAAGCCAAATCAGTGCACGGGATACCTCTGCCTTCTTTGCACTGATATTGTCCTTGTGAAAGTTTACCAACCATGGAACTACTTTCTCTCATTAGTCTGTTGTATTTACTATTACCCCCTCCATATGATAAGTTGAAGCCATGATTTGATACAAGATGGAGTCAGATCTACGATGAACGGGATATGAACTCATGGCTTGGGTTTCTGGAAAACACGTTTCAAGAATTGACATTATCTCATTCTCCCTTGTTATTCAAAATATCTAGTAATTAAGCCAAAACAGGAAGATGTTGATTTATGGTTTGACGTCAATATATGGATTTCTTACAAATTATTAATTATCAATAGCCGGTCAGGGTGACAGGTCAGGGTGAACG